TCTTGCAAATTTTAGGTATGATGAATAATTATTTGAACCCGGTTGGATAACTCTTTGGTGATAACGTCACTTCAGGATCTGAGATATAGAGGTTTAAAAATTTTTAAGGGGTGTCTTGTTCCCAAAGGTTCTTCCAAATGTTATAAAAGGGAAACGAGTCATTTAGAAATAATGGAGGAATGATTGTTTAATAGCACGATTTCGTTTCTTTTTCTTTTCTTTTTTTATTGTATCCAGTCTGTAATAAGTTCGGTAGATGTAGGGGTCAATAATGACTTGAAGCATTGCATTTTTTTTTTTAGAGAAAAAGGAGCAATAGTTTGTATGCTCGTTGAAAAATAATTTTCCCGCACAATATGATGGTCCTTTTATAGTTATTTGATAAATACTGAGAAGTATGAAAAAATGTTTATTACGGCACAATATGATGACCTTTTTCAGTTATTTGATTAGTATTAAGAGGTATGAAAAAAATCATTTATGTATTATATACGTGTTTTTATGTCCCCGTATCGAAGGTTCGGGGGTATATAGTTTTTGCCCTGTCCGTCCGTTTGTCTGTCTGACTGTCTTTCTGTTTGTCCGCAAAAACTTTAACCTTGCCCATAACTTTTGATTGGTTTGAGCTGTGACTTTCATATTTCACAGGTGTATTCCTTGTGTCAAGACCTTTCTTTGGGTACCATCAAATTTGACCTTGACCTTGGAGTTTGACCTACTTTTGAAAAATTTTATGAGACTTTAACCTTGGCATAACTTTTGAAAAGTTGGTGCTTGTGGTTTCAAACTTCACATGTGTATTTCTTGTGACAAGACCTTTCTTTGGATACCAACAACTTTGACATTTGACCTTGACCTTGAAGTTTGTCTTTTGAAAAGCTCTAACTTTGGCCAACATTTGACCCTGTCCTTGGAGTTTGACCTACTTTTGAAAAACTCTAACCTTGGCCTTAACTTTTGAACGGTTGGTGCTAGGGCTTTCATATTTAAATGTCTCTTCCTTGTGACATGACCTTCCTTTGGCTACCAACAACTTTGACCCTTTGACCTTGACCTAGGAGTTTGACCTACTTTTAAAAAAAAACATTAACCTTGGTCATAGCTTGTGAACGTTTGGTTCAAGAGCTTTCACATTTCACGAACATGTGTATCACTTGTGACAAGACTTTCCCTTTGGGCCCCATTTGACCTTAACCTTGACGTTTTACTTACTTTTAAAAAACTTAAACTTTCGCCATAACTTTTGAACAGTTGGTGCTAGGGCTTTCAAATTTCTTTGGATACCAACAACTTTGACATTTGACCTTGACCTTGAAGTTTGTCTTTTGAAAAGCTCTAACTTTGGCCAACATTTGACCCTGTCCTTGGAGTTTGACCTACTTTTGAAAAACTCTAACCTTGGCCTTAACTTTTGAACGGTTGGTGCTAGGGCTTTCATATTTAAATGTCTCTTCCTTGTGACATGACCTTCCTTTGGCTACCAACAACTTTGACCCTTTGACCTTGACCTAGGAGTTTGACCTACTTTTAAAAAAAAAACATTAACCTTGGTCATAGCTTGTGAACGTTTGGTTCAAGAGCTTTCACATTTCACGAACATGTGTATCACTTGTGACAAGACTTTCCCTTTGGGCCCCATTTGACCTTAACCTTGACGTTTTACTTACTTTTAAAAAACTTAAACTTTCGCCATAACTTTTGAACAGTTGGTGCTAGGGCTTTCAAATTTCACGGATATATTCCTCGAGACAAGACCTTTCTTTGAGTACCAACATTTTTGATTTCTTGACCTGGTGTTTGACTTGCATTTGAGAAACTTTAACCTTCGCCATAAGCTGCCATGCGGGGGCATCACTGTTTCACAATCACATTATTAAATCAGCGATATAGTCACTGAGCCTCTCTAATATAATAGAGTGCGTTATTATTTGTTTTTCAGGAAAGCTTATCTCAATTTTTTAATCTATTTTATTTTAAATCAAATTTATTGAAAGTATACCAATGTCATACCAGTTATGTAAATTCGTATATTTGGGTAGAAAAGAGGAAGAGTTAGGATGAGGAACATTTTTTTTTCAAAATGCGTTGATTTAGTCCCAATTTTAACGCACTTTGATTTTTTTTAAATGCGTTGCCACATAGCATTTATTTTAATTGTTAACTTAGTGTACAGTTACAGGTAAGTGCTGTTTTTAAATAACTGAATAAAGAATATTTAAACACAAGGTAATAAAGAATATTTAAACACAAGGCATGAGATTCACTCATGTGACCTATTGCTATCTGTTTTCGTCCGTCGTCGCGTTTCGTGTATTTTCAGTTATTAGCATCTCTGGGTATAGTCCGAAATATCTGACGTTTTTCCAGGCTTTTTTCACGATTTTGATATTTTACTTGCCAGGAAAACGTCAGAACCGGCGCCATTACGAAAACTGGGAATTCGCCGCCTCCAACCAGAGGCGGCATTCTCGGGATGATTTTCGATACTTGCAAAGCGAATGAAATGTCAAACTCACAATTTATCAATAGTACAATACTTTTAGTACTCACCAACATCGTTTTTATGGTTGTTTATAAAATATACAATCCGATGAAAACATTTTATCTGACTGTCGAGATTTGTTTTCATTTCGTGCATTTTAAAATCTTTCAAGTCCTGTATCGAAATGATGAGTGATGTTTTCTTTTCATCGATATTGTTGAGTACTAAAAGCATAGTGCTATTGATAAATTGTGAAAATGGCATTTAATTCGGTTCCCAGGTATCGAAAATCAAATACGATTGGAGACAGCGAAATTTCCAGTTTTCGTAATGGCGCCGGTTCTGACGTTTTCCTGGCACGTAAAATATAAAAATAGTAAAAAAAAAAAAAAGCCAGGAAAACGTAAGATATTTCGGACTACTCTGGGTAAAAAGAAACGAAAATTGTTAATTTCGTGGTTCCCATTCTCTGGGACCTTAGGGGCGGGGCAAAAACAGTAAAAATTAATGCAATCTTAAAAAGTCTTCTTTATATCCTGCACATGAAGTAGATAAACTGTTAACATGATTGAAATAAGCATTAAGCCCTCTACCAAACTGAACTTCTTGGCCAAGGGTTCTGGGGATAGGAGAGCTCTATTGATCATATAGTGAAATGCAATTTAATTCTTCAAAAATCTCCTCTCCTCCCGTATTATTTAGCAGACAAGGAAGTACATGATTATGAGCAAAGGTGTCCTTTCCAAAATTGTGAATTTCATGGTCCCTAGGTCAGGGGCTCTAATTTAAGGGTGGGGCGCTAATGATTAGTGAAAATGCATTAATTCTTTTCTGCTCCTGGGTATTTATCAGGTAAGCTAATTGCATTGCTATGATAAGCAAGGATACATCAAAATCATGAAATTCATCACCAAACAGGGTTTTTGGTATTAGGATCAATATATCATATATAGTACTAGTGAAATGTATGTTGTTGTTGTTTTTTTTTAAATTCTTCTCTGCCTCTGGATATATAGCAAATATATAAAGTGCATGGCTACAATGAGCAAGGGTGCCTCTTCCAAAATTGTGAAATTCATGGCTCCAGGGTCAGGGATTTTTGTGTTGGGGGGGGGGGGGGGGCTCTATTAATAATACAGTGACAATGAATTAATTCATTGAAAATCTTTCTTTTTTGTGAAATTCCTGACCCCTACATGTATTTCTGGGATGTTGGGTGGGGTCCATTGATTAGATAGTGAAAATAATAAATATGAGTTTTCCCAGAGTAATTTGTATCATAATCTGATAGAAATCATTGATATTTTTTTTTAACTTATTCAAAATATGAACATCAAGTTTAATTTCTGACTTAAAACTGAATTCACGCAGTTTTTCAACATGATCTCCTTTCAAAAATATGATGTGATTAATGTTGATTGAAAATTAATTATCGTGTACTTTTATTTTACCCCCCGCTTGGAAAGTGGGGGTGGGGATGGGTGGGTGGGTGTATAATGGGAGTGTCCGTCTGTTACACTTTGGGGTACACATCTCTTTTCTGCAACTCCTCTTATACCACTCAATAAAATTTAATGATACTTTCACAGAATCTTTGTTACATAGTGCCATTGTGCACATTCTATCTTACTTTTTAATTGGACACATATTTGTGGTTTCCAATAGCAAAACGGAGACACTGCCATTCTTTCTATAATATTGAGGGGTACTTAACTCTTATCCGTAACTCCTCCCATACCACTCAATAATTTATGATGCAGAATCTTTGTTACATAGTGCCATTATGCACCTCCTATTTTACTTTCTGATTGGACATATATTTGTGGTTTCCAATAGCAAAACAGAGACACTGCCATTCTTTCTATAATATATAATATTGAGGGGTACTTATCTCTTATCCGCAACTTCTCTTTTAATACGAATGAAATTTAATGATACTTTCACAGAATCTTTGTAACGTAAAGCCATTGTGCACCTATTTCACGTTTTTAATCGCACACATATTTAAGGTTTCCAAGAGCAAAAAATGGACTTTGCCATTTTAAACATATGGGAGGCAGGGACTATCATTTTGTGAGCTCAGTGTTCATAGTACCTAGTTTACTACATTGTAAATAAATGTTTTGTCTTTTGTTGATTCATACACAAATATGTACATGTAAGGGATGTCTTCACATTTCATCTTTTCTGGTTCAGTGGTCCTAGATAAGATTATTTTAAATGACTCTAACAAATTCTCACTTTAAAAATATCTTCCCTTAAAAGGGCATGGCTCTTCATTTGAAGAAATTTTAATTCCCTTCATACAAATGGAGTCTTTATAACTCCATTTAAACAAAAAAGAATTCTGAAAAAAAAATCACTATGTTCTGTAAATGACATTTTCAGTTAAAAATAAGTTTTGTTCTTAATTAAGGAAAAAATGGACTTAAGTTATTACCTGATCAAGGATAAAATTTAAAATTAATGAATACACAAAAAGTAAGTATGGTTTTCAGCTGTCAATTATTTAGAGAAATAAAATAAACATTTTTATTAAAGAAACGGCAAACAATCTGTTTTAGCAAATCTGGTTCACAGAGAATGATACCAAGCTAGAGATTTCGAAAGAGATGTACAGTCAATTCTCTGGAGAAAGCTTCTGGTAGAGTTATCCTTCTTGGCATCTTGTTTCAGTAAATAAGTAACAGCCAACCAAACAACTGAATCCTTTATCATCTCCAGTGGTGGAAATTCATTATGGTTCAGCCAATCTGGTAATAAAATACACATCTGTACAATATCTGCAGCCACTTTAGGTGTTGGTCTAAGATTAGGATCCCTCTTCAGCAACTGCTTTGTCAATTTCGCTATTGGTTTTGGTACTGCCATTGGAAGGGGTGGTAAGCTTTTTTCTTCATATGAACTACTATTAAAAGGGCCTTTGTAAAAAGGATTTTCCTCTCCAAATATCTCATATACTAAAGTTCCAGCAGTCCAAATATCTGACTTTCTGTAGTCAAGCCAAGCATTTCGTCCAGGTTCCATTACTGCAATCTCGGGAGACATTAATGCAGCATTCCCTCCTTTGTCGGTGTCACTGGTGTTGTATGGAATCATTAGTCCATAATCTGGTTCAGCTAAACAACAACCAAAGTCACTAATCACCAACTGTGGATGGCCACTGGAGACATCTACCAAAATATTATCACTTTTCAAGTCTCTATGTGCTATGCCATTTTCTGTCATGTGTGCAATTCCTTCCAACAACTGGGCTAGCAAAGAGCATCTAGTATTCAAGTTGACATCATTTTCTGAAAGAAAGCTCTTCAAAGTCATGTCATATTTCTTCATCACCAAAAAAAGAGTTTTGTTTCTACCAAGACCACTGTCTGGGTTAAGCCTGGTTGGAAGGGCAGCAGGGTACCTAAGATCATCACTCTTAATCTTTGGAACGTCGTCAATGAAGATGCCTTGCATTTCCACAATATTTGGGTGAGGAGGAAGACTTTTAAGTTTCACTTGATTTCTGGTCAGCCAAATAGATTCTTCCTCCAGTTGTGGAGTAGACCTTGCAGGGGTTATTTCCTTCATCATGCCCCTAAATATTACATCAGCATTGGATTCAAAATCATAATTGAACATCATTTTGATAGCCAGATCATATTTTAACTCTTTCGGAAGTGGTGTCTCATAGGGTTCTTCAACAGTAGTAGTAGTAGAAATATCTGGATTGTTTCCCTCCGAACAAAAATCAGGACTTCCAGGTATAATTTCAATGTCATCATCAGACTCATCTATGACTTCAAAACTTGATTCTGAATCTGTTAACTCATCTGTTGAAAAGGACGACTCCTCATTTGGTACGTAGCTTCTTATCTGTTCATTGAAATCATTCTGAAATCTTGCTTCATACACGGCAGAATTGCAGCCTTGCCCAATCAACTGTCCTATTTGGAAATCTTTGAATGCTGCAGTAGAAAAATTATTCTCTTCTTGGGAAGGTGGATTTATTTTCATGGAGAATATGTTTCTAATAGAGTTTGTTACTTCGTCATCTTCTTGGGCAGCAGCAGTTGACAGCATAGCAGCCACAAAGGAAAAGATGGGTCGGCGATTCCTTGAAAAGTCTATTGCTGTATAATTGAGAGAAAAAAAGATCATTAAGTCCAACATCTAGTACAAGAAAATTTTAATTGGTGTATATTTATTATACCTAGGTACTAAGTAGATAACACAGCGGTAAAGGTTAAAATGTAAAACATGTCTATGGTGATTACTACATGTACTAATAAAGTTGAACATCAAATAGCAAAAGGTTTTTTTTTTATTGGTTAATATATTTTCATGTTAAATACTGAAATCTGATTGCACTATTTTACTATTAGAGTAAAACAAAAGAAAAGTTAAAATGTAAAGCACCTGCACGATTTCGGAGTTCACGTGCGACAGTTGCAACAGCATACCGACTCGCAAATCTTCTGATCGCCGATGGTTGTTTTGCTACAGGTACGAAGGCATTTTTGTTGATTTCGATGGATTTTTGTAAGATCTTTCCCCCGTGTTCGAACCCTTTGACTTTCCGCTTCAAAATATTTTCCAAGAAGAGTCTTCCTTTGATTAACCATTTTTTCACTAAAAAGTTATTGTTTAATAAACCACTTCCAGGGTCTGCGAGGGTTTGGACCAGAGGTCCAAACCCTCCTTTCGCAAACATCGTAGTTACCTTTCGATCAACACAGCCTCACCGAGGCTCACGCAATACTTGTGTTTATTTTGGGAAATACCGCGGTGCATTGTGGTCCTCTTAAAACGGTGTGTTAGATTTCAACGTATGGGAAACATTTCTCAGTGTGTCACTTTATTTTTTTCTATAATAAAAATACCCCAACGTATTTTTTTTCTCCCTCAAAATGCTGCGAAAACTTCCAACATTCGAGAACCATGGCGTCCTTGCTTATGTTGGTATAAGAAAATAACTCAGTTTAGTGAGGTAATACATTTTATTTTCTAGCATAATGTATTTTTTAAAATAACTCTCTCGGGTACTTTAATGCATATTATATTATTCACCCTTTTAATAAAATGTAAAAAAAAAAAAAAAATTAAACATTTTTCAAAAGAACTTACGACTCAGACCATAGTTCTGCTCATAACAAAATCGTTAATTTTGCAAAGTTTTACAATAAACTGACGATTTAAATTTTGTTCTTAGTCGTAAGTTCTTTTGTAAAACAGGCCCCATTTAGGCTCGTTAGGCAGTGGCGTAGCTACCATGTGTGCTTGAGCCTGCATATCATTTTGAAACAAAATAATAATGAAAAATAATTCATAAAAAAATTTTAAATTATGAAAATAATCAACTTGTAAGTATTGTATAAAGTCATAGACATATAAGAGAGGTCTCTTATATGTCTATGATAAAGTTAAATATGTTACATTTAATCTAGAACTGTTTGTGTCCATACTTGAATAGAATAGTTTCTCATATTATATTTAGAAATGAAAAATTGGCAGAACACAATATTATCTTCTGCCTAGTCATGTACAATTTTTTTTTTCAAATAGGTAGTTTATGTGCAATATATACTAATAATGTCCAATATTGTTCTGATTATTGCAAATTATTGCTTTTTTTTTTTTTTAAATAACACCCATTTTCAAATCCGCAAATGTACGATTCGGTTATTAAGCTATCTTGTTAATTTTTTTGGAAAAATATTCTAAAACGAGTGCGAAAATTGTTAATGCAACTATCCTCAAAAAGTTAAATGATTTTTTAGCATTATTTTCCCCCCAAATCAATTAAAATTTTGGGTTGAATTAACAAAGATAAAAAATAATAATAGCCCCCTTCCAAATTTAAAAAAGAAACCGTACTGAACAGTTGGTGCCCGGTCTAGTTGACTTTTTTAAAAAGTCACACTGAGTTCAAACTACATGTAAAATAATAAAATATTTTATATAAGTAGAAACGGAATTTCCTAATTCTTGTCCTCAAAAAATTATTTTGAAAAAAAAAAAATGTAAAAAAAAAAATCTACATGACGCAGAAAAGATAAATGTAATGCTCTCTAAAATTGCCGTGATTGACCTCGACCTCGATCGTATCAATTAATATCATTATTGTTATTATATTATTTATTATCCTTCATATGCTGTTCATTGAAAAGAAAATCATTAATGTAATAACATCATTTTTTTTTTACGTTGTCTTTAAGTATTGTCTAATTTCCCTATAAAATCTCCTTTTGAATTCGGGAAAAAACTGCTACAGAGGAAGTATAAAATGTCGTGTAAATCAAACGTACCTAAAATTCGTTCCGCTTCAGTTCATAAATCCCGCCCATTATGGCTGTTCTATTCGAAGACTTATTTTTAAAAAAATAAAAAAATTAGCAATTTTTTATACAGAAATTAAGCACACTAATCATTTAAAACGTATCAAGTATTTAAAAGATCGATGTATTAAAAATTCAGTTTTAAGCGTAATGTTTTTATTGTATGCCAAAGAGTTTTCCGTCTTGAAATTAATACGAGGGAGTAAATTGTAATTGCAGTAATGTTTTGACACCTGAGCATGGTTTAAAAGGGGCATTAGGATACGAAGCCAATGGATTAATATAAGTGTGAATTTGAGATTAAAGGTTAGTATTAAGTTGTGGAAATATTTGAATAATCAAATGGCTTAAACGTATCTTGTCTTTTGCTTGAAAATAACTTTCACTCTCGCGGCGGCATATTTTGATGTCGTTTGGGCCAGTGGCATTGATGTTTGCACGAGTTGTGGAAGGCCTCAACATGCTCAAGGAAAACAGTGATTACACGTTAGGCCTAATTAATAATTTGATTTTGGAAGTTTATTAAATTATTTTGTTAAGAAGATGTTGAGCTAGTGCTGGATGAAATTAAAGCAGATTCTAAGTAATAGAGGTAAAATGCAATGTCGACATTCTCGCTTTGGATTCCAGTTTATCGATCAGTGTACTTTCTCAGTTTATGAAATAACATGTGTAGGCCTATGTAAACGCATGGAAAATTAATCTGTATTTTTTTTTAAATTACAGATGGAAAAAAAACGGTGAAAGAGGAATAATGGCTTTCATAGGATGGCAGGGCACAGGTGTATGTGTGATTTTTCATATGATGATAATACATTATAGGCCTAGTGTATGTGGGGATACAAGTTCCATAGTTATTCCCTTTACAGTCCCTGTGAATACATTCATAACGAAGCTTTCCACTAGCCATGCTGAATTCAACACCGATGAAAAGCTAGCCAAATCACTCTTCCATATCTCTGAGGATGGAAAATTAACAACGAAAAAGGAATTGTTTCCACATGTCGGAAGATCATTTTCACTCATTCTGTCAAATGATTTCAATGAGTACCCATTCATTGACATTTTATATTTAAACATTGGCCCCTCATGGGAACTAAAAGCATTTTCCAGTCAGACTTTTTATGGCATGATTCAAGAAAATCTGCCACCTGATTCAGAAGTGAAATGGAAGGAAAATATTCATCTAAATTTTAATGCAGTTAAATACACATTAGAACCTTCAAATGAAAAATTTATAGTGAACATTACAACTGATTCCACAGCTATCTCTCAAGTGAAAATTGTGACTACAAGTGAATTAGATCGTGAAAGTGCGAGTGAACACATTTACATTTTGAAAGCTTGGCTAAATGATACTGTATACACATCTACCATTTTAAAAATCAAAGTTCTTGATATCAATGACTGCATTCCAAAATTTTCTCAGAAAATTTATAAAAGTACAATTTTTGATGATAGTATATATGCACCTAGTACTAATGTATTGAAAGTTTCTGCATTTGACCAAGATGTAGAAGATCAAATAATTTACAGTCTAAGTGGTACAACAGCCTTCGCCATTCATCCAAATTCAGGTTATTTGACGGCAAAAGCAGTACGTCCAGGAAACTATAACTTCAAAGTCTATGCAACAGATACCAGTGGAAAACAATCAAATGCATTAGTATCTATTCGCATCCTCCCAAGTACTTTAAAGTTTAGACCATTCCATCAAATTTCCAAACGACAAGCAAAATTCATGACTGTGGAAAAAACTTATGTTGTTCTAGAAAATCAAACAGCTGGAACTGTTGTCTTCAGTGTTGCCTCCAAACCAGCAGCGCCACCAGGAACTGAGTTTTATTCCATTCTTTATGACTCAATTCAGGCTTTTCAGGTGGACACCAGGGGGAATGTCTACCTGAAGAGTGGGCACATCCTGGATTATGAAAATCCCCAACACAGAAATGTGACAGTTCGCTTCAACATCACCTCTTCTCTCTCCCAAGGTTTGTATCTTTACCTGAGAATGTAGTAAGTAGATATAAAAGCAGCTGAAACTCTAATTTATATCCTCATCACACAGCTCAGCTTGGTAAAAGTGAATGTTGCCGGGTACTTGTCCAATGGACAAATGTTTTTTCTGTTTTAAAGTTGAAAATCAAAAATTTAAAACTTGTTGTCAGTTATTTATCGCAGGTTAATGCATTTGCCTAAATACTGTAAAAGCAGAAATATTTGTTGGGGATTAAATTTCATTTATTTCATTGTTAAATCCCAAATGAAATTTTAATATGGATATTGAAAATTATGTTTTCTTTTTTATCAGAAACAATGAAATTAAATCCCCATAAAAGCATTTTTGATCACAAATCCATGAAATTTTATCCCAACGAAAAATTTGTGATTCTACAGTACTGTAATTAACTTCAATCCCCAATGGTAATAATGAATTTAGATCCCTGTCGTCAAACTCAATCGAGACTGAAGTTGACCATGGGAGCAATTACTTTCCATTTTGAACTTTGATAAGTTGCATGGATCTGACAAGTTTGCAATTTCAGTTAGGGTAGGAAAAGCTTTAATAAAGGAAGACAATGGTGATAAAAAGAGGAGAAAAGGACAAATTAATGTTCGATTTTGATTTTTTAACCTATTTCTCTTTGTCATTTTTCTATGATCTTGATTTAGCATTAATTGACCTGTTGACAGGATGATATTATAACTAGTAAGTTTCATAATTTGCTATGTTTTAGAATTATCATAAAGTAGACTCAGGGAATTTAATATGGACTCTATACCATTTCAATATATAATTTTTCAAGTTGTCAAGTAATTCTTGATTGAAGAAAATTTGGCAAGTAAAAGTTATGTCTGGACCAGTAAATTTCTTAGTCACTTATCCGAATGGACAAGCAAGAGAAACATTAATCTAGAGCCCTGCATCATGATCCAGTTTTTAAATGTGTACACCAAGTACACCTGTAAATTTTTATGCACCTTTTCTTAATGATTTAAAATTGTTATTGGTAGGAAAGTGGGTATATTACAAATGTTTAAGTATGGTTTCATCTATGGAGGAGTTGATTTATTGTTCTACCTTCCAAGGAACAGATGTAGAATGTTTCTCTATGGCCACTGGGGTATCTGTTGTTTGAAGCTGACCTAAAAATGTCATCTTGCAGTCTTTATAGTCTTTACTCAAAAAGATTGTTTCAATTGTTTAAAGGCCTATTTACACGGTCTGACTTGTAAGATGTGATTTCAGATGTGATTTCACATCTGACTCCAGTGTTTCATTTACATTGTATGATTTGTCAGATATGTAGTTCATTAATATTTCCCTCCAAATTTCTTATTGTTTACAATTTAAGAATGGAAAACGGCAATTACATACTACCTTTCCATTTCCTAATGATAGCAGCTATTTGCCAAT